TTTTAATTGAATTATTCTTTTTTTTTTAAAAAAAATTTATAATAGCAATTGGATCATAAATTTTTTTTTAAAAATCAAAATTTTATATATAAATCATTTTCTTATTTTTAATTTTAATTTTTTTTTAAAAACACAAAAATAAATAATTATTTTAAATGGTCATAAATAATTTATAAGCTGTTATATAATTATTTTATTATTATAATTATAATATTAAATGTGATTTATCAATATCAGTTTTCGTTCGATATATAATATATAAATAACATATTTTAAATTATATGATTATATATATCAAAATAAGAATTTTCTAAAAAATAAGAAAAATGGTAAATTTCTACCTAAAAAATCATTTTGATTTACTTACTTTAGTTTTAAAATAAAATATTTTCCAAAAAAAAAAACAGAAAAAAGAAAAAAAAAGGTAAAAATTCTATCCAAAAGTCATCTTTAAATAACTTATTTTAGCTCAAAATAAGAATATTTCTAAAAATTTTTTGGATAAATTCCAGTTTATATTGAATGAAAATAAATTAGGATTCTTCAATTATTAGAATTTTATAAAAAAGAATTTAATATTGATTTAATTTTTTTTTTAAAAAAAAATCAAGTAAATAATTTCATTTACTTACCTAAATACCAAATTCTTTAATCATTAGATCGTTCTTAGGTAAGTTTTATAAAAAAAAATTTTAATGTTAATATTTTTTTAAAGAAATCAATTAATTGCTAGCTTCAGTTACTTACCTTTTTATAGATACCAGATTCTTCAACCATTAGATTATTTGGAGATAAGTTTATAAAAAAATTAAAATGTTTTTTTTTAAAAAAATCAATTACTAACTTTAGTTTCTTACATTTTTGTAAATATCGGATTCTTCAAAGGTTAGATCATTTGAAATAAGTCTATAAAAATAATTAATTAATGTAAATTTTTTTTAAAGAAATCAATTACTAATAGGAATGTTAATAGTTATGATTATGATTAGTCATAACTGTGACCGATATTGATCAATCAAAAACCTCTGACTGATCAGTTAACTGACTGGTTTTGACTGATTTTGACTGACTGGTTGACCAACTGATTTTGACTACAAAAATATAAATGATTATAACAAGATAATAAACCTTAGATAAACATGACTTAAAGTTATTACACTGAAAATAGAAAAAAAAATTTGATTTTAAATAAAACCCTTTGAAATACAATAACCTGAAAATAAAAGAAAAAATAAAAGTCCAATTCATTATTTTTTAATATTTTAGACTTTTCTATATTAGAAACTGGAATATGAAATATTACTAATGAGATTAATGAGATATAATTGTAGAATAAGTAATTCATTTTTTTTTAATTTAAAAAAAATTAAAATTAAAATTTTTACTTTACGCTTTGTAGATACCTAAGTCTTCTGGAATCCTAGAATCATAAAAAATTTTTTCTTTTAATTTAAAAAAAATTAAAATTAAAATTTAACTCTTTTTGTAAAGGCTGAAGCCTTTCAGAATCATGGAATCCTACAAATTAAACAAAGGTAAATAAATATCCATTTTTTTCTTTAAAATTAAAAAAAAATTTAAATTAAAAATTTATCTTCTTTTGTAAATGCTAAAGTTTTCTGGAATCTTGAAATCTATGAAATAAACAAAGATAAGTTATTTATTTTTATTTTAATTTAAAGAAAAATAACTACTTTTGTTTATTTTGTAAGATTCTAAAATTCCAAAGGCTACAGCATCAGGATTTCAGAAACTTCAGTATTTACAAAAGAAGGTAAGTTTTTTTTAATTTTAAATTAAAATAAAAACAAATTAAAATTAAAATTAAAATTAAAAAAACTTACCTACTTTTATAAATGCTAAAGTCTTCAGAATTCTAAAATCAAAGGTAAGTATTTATTTTTTTCTTTTAATTTTTAAAAAAAAAAATTAAAATTTATTTACCTCTTTTGTAAATGCCAATATCTTTGATCTTACAAATTAAATGAAGGTAAGTTATTTTTTCTTTTTATTTAAAAAAATTAAATTAAAATTTTCTTTACTTTTTTTTTGTAGATACCGAAGCCCTCTAGAATACTGGAATCTTATAAATCAAAAGAAGTACATAAATCTTTTTCTCTTTTTTTTATAATATACTGGAGTTCTATTTAACAATAAATATTTTTTAATAATCAAAAGTATACAAGAATAGAAATACATATATAACAGTAGCTACTGCATTTTTCTTTTTTTACTTCAGTATTTTAATTTTTTTATATTGTAATGATTATTTCTTTAGAATAAAGAGATTAATAAGTGTAAACAAACAGGTATAAAAATTATTACAATTAGATTATGAAAATAAGTTATTTAGTTGTTATTAGGTTATTATATAATCAAATAACCTTACCAGTTATTTAAAAATACTTAAATTATTTAGTTACAATTTAGTTATTTAGTAATACCTAAGTTATTTAGTTATAATTAGTTGATTTAATCACTATTAGGTTAATTAGTTATAATTAGGTTATTATATTACTAAATAATCTAGTCTAAGTTATTTATTACTAAATAATATAATTATGTTATTTAGTAATAAATGGCTGGTATTAGTCACATGATATTATAGCTATTTTCATATTTATGCATTTATCTGATTCTTTTAAAATTTAAAATTGTTATTTTTGGATTAATAGACCAAATTATCATAGGATCTATTGGTCTAGATCATTTGGTCTATTTATAATTTATCAATAGATCTTATTGTTGAATTAATTACTATATTTAAGAGGAATATTATCTATAATTATTTACCTTTTTTCTAATACTAAAACTATTTCATAATCTATAGAGTAAAAAGATCAACATCCACTAGAAATTTGCCAAATAAGAATACCAATATTATATATATCAGATTTTTTATTTAATTTGTAATTTTTTCTTGAATTATTAATAATTAAAGCTTTGGATCTGTATAAGATATTATATCAAAAATTCTTAATAATCTGAATAGTATATTACCTGTATGCTTCAATCAGATTAAAAAACTAACCTGTACTGGACTTTCTGAGGAACCATCCCTCGTGAACACCATCAAAAAAAGCTCAGGTCATGTGGTTAGATATGTATAATGTGGCAAATTTTAATAAACCAACCTTTAACTTATACTAATCATCACAAGTAAACCAACCTTAATCTAAAGTTACGCCACAAGGTTAGGGGGTGACAAATAGGTTTCACACCCTAAAAAAAAAGTTCCCAGATTAAATAGTAAAAAATGAAACCACATCATATGACCCGAGCTTTTTTTGATGGAGCGATCATCTGATCAAATATTGTTGAATCGCATCTAATATTCATCTAAAGAATCGTCATACCCTAAATTAAGAAGAAATCAACCTGAGTCTATGCAATTAATTTAATTGATTTATAAAATAATTTATGTATATAAAAAAAATTATACAATATTAAATGAAATATAAGAAAACGATAACAATTCAATTATTATCGTTATTAATCTATTTTAAGTAAAATATTTTATTGTATTAAATTATCAACTTTCCGTATTGGTAATACTAGAATATTAAATTCGAATAACGAAATACCCGAATTACTACGCAAATCATTTTGTTGATTAAAAAAAAAAACATGTGAAAGTTCAAAAATGGTATTCAAACAAAAAAAAAATGGGCGTTAGGTGAATTATGAAACATTAAAATTTTACATATAGAAATTCTTTCCATTTAAATGATTTTCATTATTGTTTTATTTATTATTTGAATGCCTTTATTGTACGACACAGGTTTCTACACATGTTGAAAATGCTGAAACATCTTTAAATTTATTTTATGTTAGTTCAAGGAATTTCAGAATAACGTAAATCATACTTCAATTCCTTATATAATAAAATTTTAATGACGAAAGATTTGAAAAATTTGAATCTGAGCTTCAAATTCGAAAAAGGGACACAAGGTCCAAAACGTTTGATAATCATTTCAAATCCTAATTCAAAGTATCTTTAAACACGTGATCTCTGGTAAAGAAAATGATCAACAATTTTCTTGGCGAATAGCAAATTATTCTCGGAAGGATACCTTTTAATCAATAAAAAGGAACTGATTAATGAGATATTAATGGGTAATACGTCCGAATAATAATTGGTATTTCTTTGTTTCTTTATAATCTAATTCGTAAAGGAATCTGTAATTTATATTGCAGTATAATGAATAGAATATTAGTAGTTCGTTTTATTTATGTACTTAATTAACGTATGATTTTTATTCACTATTCGCTTCAGCACATACATCATTTTAATTTAAATATCACCCGTTATAAGGTTTTTTTTTAATAGAATATTTATAGACTAGAATATTTTCATTGGTTAAGGTTGTCCTGCGGGTAAATTAATTAGAACGGAAATTGTCGAATTAAGAAAGAGTTGAACATAATGCCCGAAATGTTACCACTAAAAGTAAAGTTCATACACAAATAGATGAAGGATCTTCAACTGCTTTCCTTTTAGTAAAGCCTTGTTTATACGTTTATACATAACAAGGAAACGTAGAAAAATCATTTCAAAATAATAAGAGTCTTTAATATATATTATAAAATACCAACGGAGTTTGTTTACAAACACTCATCATTTAATATTTAATAATTCGATCAAACGATTGTATATAATTTAAAAGGTGCGACGGAACACCACATAAGCAAGACCATGTGCATCAACAAATATGTAAATTTACGTAAAAGGAAATATGTAATATAAAGAAAATGTAAAAAAAAAAAATTGCGCGTATTTTTTAAAATATATATAGTGCGAGAAATTCTTCCTGTCTTTTCTGCAGTCCTCCCAATACCGTTTTTTTGCCAACAGAACAAGAAAAAAAAAACTTAGCATTGTCTAAGCACTTTCCTTTACCTAACACATCAATTCCCTTACATTCCCCTTCCTTTACAATATTTTCCTCTTTTTCCTCTCATACGAGAACTTTTCGAATAAATTTTTATCATCATTTAAAATGAAGAATATTATTTCTATCTTAGCTTTTGTCATTTTCGCTCTTACCATTTTTGGTGTCGATGCCAACAATGGCCGTTCCTTGAAAAGATGTCGAAATGATTTGAGAAGAGTGCAAACTAAAGTAAATGTACTTGAAAAGAAGGCAAATAAGTGTCCTGTTGTATTTGGACCAAGCGATGTTGCTTTTATAAAGAATTTGCCACAAGATTATTGCTCAATCTTTAGAAAGGGAGGTTCAAAACAAGGCGAATTAGGACAAGCTAATGGACAACAAATCTTTACTGGCATTTGCTCAAACACACCACAGGGAGAAATTCCAAAAGTTGAAAATATGCCATCAACCCTTATTACTTTCCCAGAGAATGGTGCCAAAATTAAGATAGGTTGTCCATTCAAAGTTCAAGTTCATTCCACCAACATTGAATTTGGTTTTTTCAGTGATCCAGTATTTACATATAATGCTTTCCCACAAGCATTAAACGATAAAGGTCAAATCAAAGGACATCAACACGTTACCATCCAATTTCTTGGTGACAAGAAAAACAAGAATCCACCAAATGCTCAAATATTTAATTTCTTCAAAGGTCTTAACGATAAATCAAATAATGGAAAATTGGAAACACTTGTCGATGTTGGTTTACCAAAAGTAGGATTATACAGAATTTGTACCATCCTCTCATCCTTCAGTCATCAAAGCGTTGTATTGGTATGTACATGTACAAAATATTTATTGGATTTTTGTATTTGATTAATTTTTTCTAACACTTTGTCTTTTTTTTTTTTTTAATAATTATTATTATTAGCGTATGTATTTTATGTCATTTTTGAAGTTTTGGGGGGGGGGTTTTTTTTTTTTATACTAATTATTATGCAATTTTGTTTATTTTATTTTTCCTTTTAATTCCGATATTTCAAAAACTATAGCGTATGTATATTTGATCTTTTTATTATTTATTATTTTATTGGTGTTTTTACTAATATTTTATTTTAACCTAAAATAGTAAGGCCCAAAGAGGAGCTTCTGATGATTGTATCAGGATTAAAATTGTTAAATAAAGCGATAATCCCTTCATCTTTATTCTCGTATGTTATTTTGTGTTTAGACCGGAGGACATTGTTAAAACTTTCACTTTTTTTTGGTCACTGAACCTCCCATTTTTGGGAATTCAATGATGTAAAAAAATCCTTAAATCATCATTACCATACATTCATTAATTCAATAACATAGAGTTTTCTATCACTATTTTTTTTTTTGTTTGTTACCAGTTGGCATAAACTCTCTCACACAGTCGAAAATTTGTTTATATACAAACCACCATTACAAAACTAATTTGTACAAAGTAATAGATTCTCATTTATTTGTGGAGTAATATATATAATTTAAAGGTTCACCAAGTATTCTCTCAAAACTAAAGGATTTTAATATTTAGTGTGGAATCTATTGTTAATAACTATAATATATATATATATTTTTTTTTATATATTAATTCTAATTTTTTAATGAATGGAAAGAACAAAATTCATCGTTCTTGTTTTGTTTTTTAAGTAGTTTATTTCCTTCCTTATGGAATAATTTTAATTTATTAAAGGAAATTACAGATTGAAACTGTTTATAAATTTTTATTGCATACCTCTTTTTCATTGCTTAATTTTTTTTATGTATATATGTCGATAAAACATTGCAATGAATAGCGATAAAGATAATTGTTGATACAAATGTTCTGTAACTGGTTTTTTGGTATGGTTCCGAGTAATTGGAATTGTCATGTGTATTTTATCCATTCGAACAATTGGTAATGCCTTAATAAGTCAAGTTAAATTCATCACTTGGGGAAAGATGTTTTATATGTTTATGTTTCACAATGATTTTTTTTATATGTACAAAAATAAAAAAAATTCTTTTAAAATAAAAAGAATGGGGGGAATTATTTATTAATAGAAACAAAAACAAACAAAAAAAGAACAACGACCTTGTTTTATTAATGAAGTATCTATTTAAATTTTTTTTTAAAAAAAAAATACACGTGTAAAGAATAAAATAAACCAATTTTCTATGATGGGTATTTTTTCTCGGCGGTTTTCGTTAAAAAAAGCGGATTTAAAAAAAAAAAATTTTTTTTCTCGTCACGTGATTTTGACTGCGCACGAGCCATGTGCTTGATTAATTAAAACCCCTGGGAAATCATTCCATAGAAGGAACTGATTTTCGGAATTCCCGGGAATTATTCGGGTCTTACACAGTATTGTTTACCATAAATAGAAAATGAAACTTTACAAGGGGATAGTGTTTGGGTCAGCTCGTCGAAAACCTTCTATAAAGTATTACAAATAATTTGCATGCAAATTTATAAAATCAGCAATCACACGCTCTACCCGTTACACACTTTTGCCACAATTTCTTTTTTTCTTCCCATTTCACTTTACCAATTATTTTCGGATTAAGAGATAACAATATGAACAAAATAGACTGTTGGCCACCAAAGAATGGAGAATCGAGTACTGCAGCGCAAAAATATGGTGAAAGATCAACGTGCGATTCTTCTAATAGAGTAATAATGTTACAAGGTCTTGACCCGAATTCAACTCAAGGAAGAATAAGGGTAAATTTTTTTTTTGTTGTTATTTTTTATTTATCAAAGAAGAATGTTTTTGAAGGTTCTTAAATTAGAACTTTCTTCTTTTTCTTTCTTACTAGAAAGCATTTGAAGATAATGGTTTAAAGGTCACAGTCGATTATCAAAGAGACGATACTATAGGTTACGTTCATTTACATTTACCTATGGCCAAAGAAGTCGTCCATCGTATTACGAGTTCTGGCGGGTTAAGAGTTGGTTCCGAGTATGTGGTGTTACGTGCTTTAGAAGGTAATCAAACGAGATCATTTTATTGAATTCATAATCTTTATTCATCCTTTCAATGGTTTGTATTTACAAACATCAATTTGATTTCTTTTTTTTTTAAAAAAAAAAAAGGAACGGAAGAAGTGATGTATTGGACAGTGTATGCAGCTTCAAACCTTCCCACTTCTTTAAGGTCACCGGGTAAAAGCAAGAAATTACATACCAAAGGTCGTCGTAAGATGCGAAGCCGATCATACCCTTACCCTTCTATGGATATCGATGAAGATGTGGATCAACCATTCGACAAAGCGTTGTCAAAACTACAAAAGAAGAAAAGTTCTAGGTTGAAGCGTACAATCAAAAAATCCAGGAAAATACCGAATAATAGGAGCGCAGCGAAACAATTTCACATGCAATTGAAGGCCATCAATATGGACATCGATACATCAAATTCTTTGGTGAAGAAGGAAGGAATAAATAGTAACATGTCACGTTTTTTAACATCCAGTCCAATGATAATTTCTGAAAGGTTAAGTGACTATTCATTGCAATCTATTCAAGAAAGTCAATCGTTTACCGATCTTATTACCACTGAAACCGCCAATTCTAGTGGAATGTTTGAAATTTCTTCACATTCTCAACAATTTTACCATCGTTCAACCCGCCAACAATCCTCTTCCAGTATGGAGTTAAGGGATAATGTTCAGTCTTCTATCACGGTTGGAAACAATGATGAAGCGGATGAAGTTGAAAAAAAATTCAAGTATCTCTCAGTAACCTCTGGTAATGAATTGATGAACAAATTCAGTAGTGAATACTATTAATGACCCTTTGCTGATTACTATAACGGAGGTCGTATACACGTTTTTTTTTACAAATTGCTGCTAATATAAGACATGATTGTTAAGCCGGGATATTTTGATACTGGCCTAAAATGAATTATTGTCTTATAATAATAAAAAAAAAAGAAAAAAAAAAAAAAAAAATGGAAAAAGCAATTGCATAGTTAGTTTTTTTAATCTTTTGGGAGTATGAAGGGTGATGGTTGCTTCTATAATTATTTTATTTTATTTTATTTTTAGTGTTATTTATGAATAGGGATTGACTTTAATTTACCATTACGCTTTTTATTCATTTATTTTAAATTCAAAAAATTACGGATTCCTGAGTTCAACGGCTATAATTATATTATCTTCATCCATAATATCTGGATTGGTTCAATTCTTTTTTTTTTAAAAAAAAAAGAAATTGTGAGTCATAGTCAAATTTTATTTTTTAATGTTATTAAAATTCTTCAATGCTTAGAACAACTATAATTTTATTAAATTTATCGGTTGCAAATAAATTTAGTGATTGCTAACAACAAAATATTTTTTTTTAGTTTTATTAGGCTAAAATATGTAACATAAGCAAAAAAGAAACACGAACATTAAAAAACTTGTAAATGTTAATAAATGTATCAACTGTCACATGATTTTAAGATATAGGCAAGTATCATATGAGGTATGCCAAAGATTTTCAGTGTGATCAATAAACGGTAATAAATGTGTTGTTTTTTTCGAACTTCTTTTTACAAGTTTTTTTGGAGGTATGTTACAGTATTCATTGTTGCGTAAATATTTTATAATTTTTGAATCTAAAATATTTTAATTACCACAGTATGCTGATATTACCGATCCTTGTTCCTCGTTTTACATTTCGTTCATGTGACAATTAACATTTGATCGGAAGTTTATTAAAATAAATCAAATTGCTGAGAGATTTGAGATAAAAATCATTCTAATCAATTTATTCATTGGTACACTCCTCTGCCAAGGTCTTGATTTTTTTTTTAAATACCATTACTATCAATGTCATCAGTTTTGGTCGGTCAAAAACCTTTGACCGACCGATTTACCCGACCGGTTTAACAGTAATTCTATCAGCTATATTAATCAGGTTTTGGTTTATTTGATGGCGTTAATTTAAATAAAATATAGACTATTGTTACCTACCTCTTAAGATATTTTTTATGTCCTCATATAAATTGATTTTTTATATTATATTATGATTGTTGATGGATTTGATAACTTTACATTGTATAAATTACTTCCTAATTATGTCATTAGCTCTTTTTTGTGGCGCAGAATTATTGCGTACTTTTTTTTTTTTAATTTACTGTAAATACAAAAAAAAGTTTGTTTACTAATTAAAAAAATCTAAATAATATGCGTTTTACATAAAAGATGAACCCATTAAATTAGGGTATGATAATCTAAAGTTTTTTTATTTACATTACATCATTAAAAACATTTCCATGTTGCTCTAATTGATTTTTTAATTGGTGATAATTTGTTATTTCTGGAAAACAAATATTTTTTTATATTTAGGATCTAAAAAAGTAAAGACGAATTATTTCACATTTGAAGTTATCTCCGAATGTGTCACATTCTAAATTTGCATAAAACAGATAAAGTATTAAAAAATGATATTTTTAAAAATGGGAGCTGATCTATTAAAAGTGGGTTACGAGACATAGTAAATCATATGATCCGTACCTCAATTTTAATAGAATACTACCCAAATAGTAATAATGAAATTAAAGTATTGTAGATCAATTTTTCTTAAAAACAAAATTAATTAATATTTAGTTCTTTATATAAATAAAATGATTATGAGTCTTTTGAAATAGAAAGGGAGGAATCTGGTGGGAAAAATAAAGATTGAATTAATGCTATATCTAAACATATTTCGGCCTTATAAATTACATTAAGTAAATTGATTTTTCATGATTTAAAATTATACTAAACTCACTTAATTTTAAAAAAATTATGTTAATTGATTTTATAACCTTTTTAAAATTTCTACTTTTGCTTGATTTTAAATAAAGGATTATTCTAATGAAATAATAATAAAATTTAATAAAACAATAAGTATTTATTTTAAAAATATGATTATAAAAATATTTTAATAAAATAATAACTACTGTATATTATTTTAAAAAATAATAGTAAAATCATTTTAATAAGAAATTTTTTAATAAATTTCTTATTTTACAATTATAAGTAAATTATCCTTATATAATAAGAAATATATCAATTTAAAAATAATGATAATAAAGTTATTTTAATAGAATATAAGTAAAGAATGATTAAAGACTATTATGTTAAAAAATAATTAAATAATCATTTTGAAATATTATAAATACTTATTATAAAGAAATAATTAAAACTATTATTTTAATAGAATAATAAATATATTATTTTTAAAAAAAAAAAAATATTAAAATTGCTATTTAATAAAATAATAAGAATTATTATTTTAAAATAAATAATAAAAAAACTAATAAAATTGTATTTTATATAAAATGTATATTATGCATTCCATGTATAGTAATTTAATTATATACATGTGTATCATAAAAATTAATCAATATGGTTATTTGATTTAAACTTTATTAAGCTTTTTATACTATTACATTTCTTCTTTTTCACATTTCTTTCTTTTTTTGTTATTATATTCATATTATAAATTTTTCAAATCTTTTTCTTTATCTATTTACTCACATTATATTATAATATTATCAAAAATAAATGATTCAAACTCTATGACATCAAAAATACTTACCTTATATTAAATCATTACTTATATTAAATTAATATTAAAATTTCAAAACTTTATTTTAATTTAATATTAAAATATTGTTATATTCATATTGAATTTTATTAAGAAAAAATTTTCCATGATTTGCCTAATAATGAAATCTTTCTTAAAGAATTTTTAAATGATATTTTAGAAAATAATAATGATAAAGATAACTCTTTTGAAACTAATGATTTAAATATCTTAACTTTAATAATAGAAATTGGTTTAAGTGATATACCACTTAAACTAAATTATAGAACTACTTTATAATCGAATACCACTCTATAATTTAGATATTATTTTATATTCTGAATATCACTCTATAATCTGTATACTACTTTATATTCTGAATATCATTCTATAATTTAAGTATTGTAATAGAAGAGTCAACCGCAAATCATATGACAACAGAATAAATCACCTGATCTACTACGCCAAGTATCTGCC